TACGTGTGTGCCCATCGACATCCTCCACATGTCCGCGTGCACATGTACATGTTCTAGCTATAGCTAAATCCGGCCAGCAGCGATCGGTGCCATCTGAGAATCGCTAGCCTGAGATGCGGTTTGTCGCGTACACATGAACTGGTTAAACGTTATCTATATGCGATTTAGCAACTTCAGGGATTTCCAATTCCATCATCTGCTCGTCAGTCGGGCGGGGAACATCATGATCGCATAGAAATTGATCCTTAACTGCGAGCTTATGCGGGCACATATGCACTGACATCTTCAATGCAAGCCAGCTGCCCGGTCATCCTCGGTGGCCGGTGCCGTCATGGGCACCTCAGCGTGAAAGCTAATATTATGCATGCCATATTCGATTATAATTTGCAATGAAGCTGCTTCCACCTGCTGCTGGGTGATGTCGCCGTCGACATTTCCAGGCTCGTCCTCGAGCTCATATACTAGTTAAATTTAAGTATTTGCAACCATACTCGCGTGATCCGTACTGTCATGTGCATAATATACGTGCTGACTGGCGGCCTCTTCATCGCTCGAAATATCCAAGCAGTCCTCACGAATAAGTCTGGCTTGCATTCGAACGTAATTGATCACCAATCGCGAATACTAGCTATGTATATCCAGCCCTTATAAGCAAGAATCCGGAGCATCGATCGTGGCCAGCATCTCCCCCACACCGTCAGGCCGGCCGGTGTCCTCAGAAACTGAACGACCGATACATATTAATAATTATTGTGATCGGTACAGGATATCTATCGAGTAGTTTTGAAATATTATATATATATATATATATATATATATTTATATTTATATATATATATATATATATGTTGTTTAATTACGTTATATATATGTTTCTGCGTACACGTTGCGTGTAGACGTAACATGTTAACATGTATAATCATATGCATGTATATACCCATGTATATAGTACACGAGCCTGGACACAAATATTTATTCGAAAATACAGTATATATATATGTATGTATATATATATATATATATATGGATACACATGCACATGTATATATATATATATATATATATATATATATATAAGTTTCAGCAATATGGATATGGAGCGATGCATGTTATTCGGCATGTTAGCTTAAGCTTCGATTTAAATATCTTAATTATGTACACGAAGCGGATATTATATTATATATATATATAAGACGACTAGTACTCGATCTAACTAATATTTAATCCCAATATACATTTTGAAAAAGAACAGTGCGTGGAAAATCACCAGCCGGTTCTAGAATCCCACATATATATATATATATATATATATATATATAATATACTAGTCCGGAGTTTAAACGAAGATTTCAGCGAGAGGCTGCCAGCGAGAGGATGAAGCCAGCTTTCTCATCGTCATCCGAACCGTCCTGGGCAGCTATGCGTTATTTCACCCGTAGCTACAGACTAAAATTATTCTTATATTGAATTTAAAATTACAGTTTACTAGCCAACCATATAAGCAAAAGACTAGCCTACCAAAGCCAGAAAGTTAGTATGATCAATGGCTGTCAAAAGTCCAAGTCCTCGCTTATGGTTTCGATCTGAACATCCGCATCAGTGATTTCCACACCGCTGACCTGCAAACAGCATTATTGTCTAGCGTTTGCACGTAACAGCATATATGTTTCCCTCGCTCGCCTCGGAATCAAGGCTAGACCTGCTAGAGCTCCGCTGCGGTGCCGCCAGTCCGTTAACTCTGTAGTACAGCTGTTTGAGTACCTGGATTTTCTCGTGCCGTCCAACCGGACTGTTGCCCAGCAGCTTAATGTAATAGCTTGCTAGCCAGCGAAGCCGCGTCCCATGCAGCTCAGCCCACGATTTCACCAGGTGTTTGTTCCCCTGCTTCAGTTCAGTTTTGCTGCATAGCGTGTAGACCAGGGCGACGTATAACACCGCTTCCTCAGCAGTGTATACAGCACAAAGCTTAAGATGCAGAAAACTATGTATACATGTACACGATCGCATGCAGAACACACCGAGACCCCAACTCGGTGTTCCTTGCACGACGGCAGCCGTACGGTGGTTAAATCTTCCGTGCACCCTCTCATCATATGGATGATATACGAAGTCATGAGCTCGTAGTTCGCCAAAAGGTCATCTTCCCCCACTTTGGCTTCCAGGATCTTAACCAAAGGCCGCTGGTGTTCCTTATAAGCTTGGGCAAAACTGCACGATGCTAGCACAATGATATGGTATCGCGGATAGTCTATCTGTGCACCCCCATCCCGGCCTGCGACCTCAGCTCATCCAGCCGATTTTCCACGATCGGGCGAAGGGCTCCGACAACTCGAAGGGCCTCGTCCTGCGTAGTTTGATGAAATCCGGCCAATTACCCATGCAGATGATCATCAAATTATTTGCCAACAAGTCTCTGAGATAAAAAATCTCATAGGTTGCAGCACTTTCTTCCCCGTCATCATAGCACCGCTGTGGCCACATTTTTTCACCGCATCCACCTGCTTAAAGCCCTCTGGCAGCTCCATGGCCATGCTGATGGTCACGGATCTCTGCTCTTAAAAGCCCATGCATGCCCCAACTGATGCGTACGTACATGTTCGAAGCTTGCAAGCCTAGGCCTAGGCTCCGGATATGTCCAGTGCACGTGCTGCCGCACAGCTGCATGTTCCATGCCGCTTGCAAGTGACGAAGCTGCAAGTTGCACGTACGGGCACTCACGTACATGCATGCACTGCACAGCGAATCAAATTGCAAGCACACGTCATGTTCACTGCAAAGCTCAACAAGCATGCACACAGCAATGCACTGCATGCGACGGGGAGGCGGATCCTGATCTCTGCTTCTGCAGTGCATTGAACTTCATCAACCATGCCATGGTTCGAAAGCGAACCTAAAAACGAATTCATAATCTACGTACATCTGCATAGTTTAGCTCAGCAGCCGGCCTAGCATCGAATTAACTGTTCGAAGTAGCATTCCATATATGTACTATACAGCCCGATCGCCAATAATTCGAAGTAATCATGACCCACAAAAGCCTGTAAAATGGGTCCTGGCCAGGGAATTACAGCAATATTTTGACGATGTACATATGCTAGCTATATATATATATAAATATCCAGCAATATTAGCTATACGTGATATGCATGTACGTGTACCGGTACCTTGAACCAGCCGGCGAGGGCCAAGCGTGCTGCATTTCAGCGGTCCTGCCGGTATATCGTACTATAGCGATACGTAATCTATAGTTTATACATTATCTGTCTCTCTACATCTCTCTCTCTCTCACCATTTTACTATATATATTACTAGCTGCATGCGATCCGGATTGATGTATTTTTAATAGGTTATACTATGATAGATATTTCGCGATAGAAACATAGCATATATAACAATGCTATATTTCTCTATCTACTGATAAATCTAGGAATTTCGCATATATTACCATATATTCATGACACCGGTATTGCTAGAATCAGCTCTGCCCACGAGCAAAGGGCCGGGATGATGCACTTGCTGCTCCATGTAAATAAATGTACAGGGTACTATCAATAAGTTTAAGCGTAGAGATATGATACATCGCAAATGCATGTACGTACAGATAGAGTTTAAAATCAAGCTATAGTATTAGATAGTATAATTTTATGCCAATATCCGTCAAACCCAAAAAGTAGTCACCTATTTTTTGTCGATTTCGACGTGCTGCTATCATTTGACCGTAGAGTCGTTTTTTTTTATTAGATCAATCACCCACACAACTCTTGTCGTTTGGGCCGTTTAACTGGCCCCCAGCTCAAAGTACTAAACCTCAAGTGACCATAGGGCACAAAATGCCCTGTGGGACGAATACGGCCGAATGTTGCCCATACACACACCTGGACCCTTTGGGTGTGGAATCGTGGCGTCGTGGTCGTGGAATAGGTCGAACATGGTGCTTGCATGCTGTTCGCGAACCTGAGCATAGAGCAGCACTCAGCAAGCACGAGAGATGGAGCTTCGCGATCAGGCCAGACAACGGCCAGCTGGTGCGGATGCACGTGGTGGGTCGCCGAGGTCCGAGAGCCAAAAGCGACATCAGAGCCATCAACAGTGTCACTGGCAATGTTTTGCATCGAGCTGAGCGAGACAGAACCGAGCTTGCGGATGAGGAGAGACAGAGACGATACTTAGAGGTGATAGACCTGGACTGAAAGTTTGCACACCTCGTCGGATCAGACATACTAGAGCGGGACTGGGTCAGTCCAGTTCTATGATGTCTGAGGCGACAAGTTGTGCCGACCACTTCGGTGATCGACTTAGGCTTTCAGTCCAGGTCTATCACCTCGAAGTATCGAAGGTGATGGACTTGCGACCTTGGTCATGTCCGCTCTTCAAGACCCCTCTCCAAGCAGCTTCAAGACGATGGGGCTACGGGCGCTCCGTGCTCCGGCATGGAACAAAAAGTTCTGCGTTGCATAGTCGGCATAGTCGTCATCAAGCGGCGTCAAGCGACATCAGAGTCCTTGTCAAGTGTCATTGCCATGGTCGTCAGAGTCGGCATGTCAGTGCCTCTGCCAGGCTGTCACGGACGGCTGGCTCCGGCGGTGTCCACTCACGGACGGCTGGTCCGAGGAGGCCTGGAGCTGTGCGTCTGAGTTTTAAAGTCCTGCTTTGTCACGGTCGTTCGTGTGGACAACTGGCTAGATGCCGTGACAAACCACCGGGTGGTTTGTCACGCTCGCTGCTGTGATTGCCACGGACGGCTGCTCGGCCCAAGCCGCGAAGTTCTGCCTTTGCCATCCCAATACAAATTTCATTGTATTAGCTTTAATTAGAGTTAGTGACAAACCACCCGGTGGTTTGTCACGGGCCTGGTCTCGGACGGCTGCTCAGAGGCCGTGACAACTTTCAGGGTTGCCACGGGATTTTCACGGACGGGCACATAACCAAAACAAGCCGATCCCAAACCCTTTCCAAAGCCTCAACAACTTGGGGAGTCAGAGAGCGGATGTGCATGTGCCATGGCTTTGCCTCTTCCCGATCTTTTCGCAGAGGAAGATGACCAGGAGCAGGATGAGCAGGAGGCTGCTTTCACATATAGGCCAGCTGGCCGGGGAGGCGGAGGACAGCTCCAGAAGCAGTCGCAGGAGATCATCTACAACATGTACAAGGTTCTGTCGCCGCATGTTTCGGAGATCGTGTCAGTGCTGGACCTAGATCCGCGAATGCGTCTGTTTGGTTTGATGAGCAACTTAACTGGTGTGTCGCGCCAATCCCTGGAGCGGGTTTGCAAGCACTTAGACGAGACACGAGGCATCGCTCGTGATCCTGTGAATCAAGGCGGCCGCAAGAAGAGAACAGCTGCCCAGAGCGATCTGCCGGACATCTCTGCCTATATGCCTTCGGCAACAGTTCGTGGTCCATTGCCGTCCCTGGTAGCAGAGGAGTCTGCAGTGCCAGAGTCGGTTCCCGAGGTTCTCATAGAGGACTTGATGGCAGAGCCAGGTGCAGCGGCAGCGGCCTTCGAGGTGGCCGAGGAGGAGGGGGACGCCGAAAACCCGGAGGAGTCGGCGCTTTTTCTTGGCGTCAAGCGAGTGACACCAGGAGTACTTCGCCAGGTTCAAGCTGCTGGCTGCGCTGCGGAGATGCAACCACTGTCAATCCTGGATGAAGACAGCCAGAATCATGTGGTGGGATTGCGGCTATGTTCCCTTGCACTACGTCTAGAAACGAGAGCCTTAGGCGGCCGCGAATTTGAAGACTCTGTGGATTGGATCGATCTTTTTTTTCCCGGGCAGCTAGGCGAATGCCACCACTCAAAACGTTTTATGGAAGAGATACTTGTGTCTGCAAGGCAAACGCTGAAGTATCGGACGTGTGAGGACTTGCAAGTCGTCTTGCCGGCTTTGGGCACGCCTAGTTTTCTGAAAGTGGTCGCAGACGGCTTTACCCCGGCTACCGGGGAACCGCTAGACATACAGATGGCGCATGCCTGCAACGACACTGGATCCGTCGATACGATTCTGCTCGACCTTCCACCTGCTCGCTCAGTACCGACCGATGGGAAGTCGCCCACAAGGCAGATTACGGAGAGCAGACTGGAGACATTGCGGAAACTGGGCGTGGACCAGCAGCAACTTAGATTTCGTTATCTTGGCCTGGCCGGAGATGGTCTTTTGGCAGGGCCTTTCGGCACAGATCATGGCTTGTGCTTGGCAGAGGTGCTGTACGAAAGTGTGCCTGTAGAGGTCCCGGAGGAGCAGCCACTTTTTGCCCTCGTAGACGCTGCGAATCACAGGCTGCCGCTGCCCAAGGACTGTTGGACAGCCTTGGATGCGATGCACGCCTCCGACAAGGGAGGAGCTCATGCCGATTCTTGGAGTTCTTCTGGCAGGCTGAACAGTTCGGGCTCTCTTGGGACCTTGAGTGTTTGGGCTTCTTGATGAACGAGAATATAATTTAATGAAGAGGCTAAACTTTCAGCCAAGGATTTTGGGGTGGAGCCAGTGCGGCTTTTTCACTCTGTCACCCGGCGTGTGAAGCGGCTCTTTGGCTTCGGCCGCGGCATGTGCATTGCGAGAAGCGTGGCGAAGAAGTTTGAGGTCAGCTGGCACGCGCCGATGGCACCGTCGTCTGAGTCGACCAGGCTGGTAGCGTATGAAAGCCGCAGGATTCCTCCGATTTTTTTTCATAATCTGAGGGTGGCTGCTGGAGCAATCGCTGTGTCCATTCAAGCTCGCTTGGAGCGGAGCCGAACAGCATCCATGCGACAAGGCCGTCACGTCACCGAATCTTGCGGGATGCAGGACAAGGAGGTGAAGGCTCTGAGACAACTGGGGCGGGACATGCTGTGCCCTGGCATGCTGCTCTTTGTTGCTCTGCGCTACGACTCCAGGATGCAAGGCGAGGACCCGTTAGTGACATTGGTTTAAAACATTCAGGGGCTAGGGCTTTATTGGGTTCCTGTTATTTCAAGTTGGGTTCATGGTGATTTTATTCGGAGTCCCATTAATTCTAATAATAGTAATTTTGTAGGCCCCTAGCATTTTTACATGTTTAAGCATTAAGCCGTACAATCTTGAACCCCTTCCAAAACCCAGGTTCCATTCAAGAAGCAGGGCTTGGAAAAGCGGGTTCATTGGGTAAGCTAACAGGAAGGGGATTGAACAAGGGTGCTAAAAGGGGTTGTTTTTTGTTTGATTTAGTTTTCGGGCCCAGGAATTGGGGGACAGGCAAACCTTGACCCTTCAGGCCTCTTGAAGTACTTGTACATGGCGCAGAATCGTCAAATGAGTGGGCACGCCAAGCTCACTTTGGCAATGCACTGTCTTGACAACATGCGAAGCCAGCTGGCTGCCACACAAGGCCTGCGAGGAGCATTGCAGTGTTGGAAGAACTTGGCTGACTGCGTGGATGGCAGCGCTCTTCCCAGAGACACCGTAGCCAGCCGAGCCAGCCGTGATGCCTTCGCTTCTCGGTTGTGTGTTAACCAAGCTTTCCCCTCAAGTCCCCCAGTTAGTAAGCACAGTTTTACTCGACTACTGGACCAGAATCAAGGTTAAGACGATGGTCGCCCAAACCGCTGAGCGGCAGCTGCCCACTGCATGCAGGCTTTTCCTGGAGATGATTTTGGATAGGCAGGCTCAAGGTTGCTCACTCGGATTCCTTGCAAAGCAACCCCATCCATTTGCGGAACCTCGTGACGTGATGGCAAGGCACAGTGAGACCTCCCGGCTTTGTCGACGGCGCGTTTTTGATGAGCTTCATGACTGTTTGTCATGCTTCCGAACTTGGCTTGTCAACGAGCGCCATTTTTTTTGGGTGCGTGTGGTGAATTGGGCATCGACTGACATTCCGGCTGAATTCCTGACTGCAAAAGGACTTCATGGTCAAGATCTCTTGCCAGAGGACCCAGAGGAGGAGCAGCAGGTGGAGGGCAACGACGAGGATTCCATGGGGGCTGGAGCTGACTCTGGGGAAGCGGCTGATCTTGCAGCAGCGGCTGCTTGTAACAAGTGCATGGAGGGCATGTCTTCTGTGTCCGCTGCGACCGCGAACACCTGGGCCCAAGCACGGGGCAGCGCTGAGACACCTGATTCAGATGCTGACGAGGACGACCCGGAGAATCCAGAGTCAGATGATTTTGCACCAGGCAGGAGCGCCTTCAGATTCAAGTGGCCGCCAAGCGAATGGCAGCAGCAAACTATGCAGCGAGCTTTTGTAACCCGGCAGCATTTCGCTCTAGTCACGTTGGTCGTTTGTCGCCAGAGGCTTTCGGGTTGAAGGAGGATTCTTCATCGTTGCTGCTGCGGTTTCGGGTTGACTGGACATTGGACATCAGGATAAAATGTTGAGCGTCACGTAGTTGCACAAAGGTGCAGTCCAAGAGCAACATTGGAGGCATGCTGGGTCGTCCTGGCAATGCTGAAAACCTGGACAGGTTCAGGCGGAGCAAACGCTTCAACGTATCTTTGTTGTGGAACTCCAAGAACAAGAAGCTTTTGTTTCGAGAAAGGACTTACACTTTGAAGGAATGCTGGGCCGACATGTTCTACTGCAGGCCTCAGAAGCTGGGGCGATGTGTGTGGTCGTTTGGACAAACCGTTCGTGTGCAGGCCGCCGCTGCGAGACTGTTTCTGGATCTGCCAGACAGACAGGTAGACTTCGACCAGGCAGAGATGGATTTGAAGAAGGAAGCGTTAAACTACCTGGTCGATGTGTTTGGATCCATCTGCTGGAACAGGTCTGCACACGACTGTCCTTATCAGGACCCGCCAGAGGAGCTTTTCAGTTCAGTATCCAAGAGTTTCCTGTGGGAGGGCTACAAGAACTTGCGTATGTTTTCGAGGGTGCTGGTGAAAAACCAGTCCCGAATCGACCTGGGAAAAATTCATTGGTCTTTTCATGATGCACTGCTGCTGAAGACATTTCTGTCATCGGCTCCACTGAGCAAGGTTCGCAAGTGGAATGGCTTGTGGCATAACTTGATGTTGTGGCACGCCCTGCATATCTGGGGTTTGAGCTCATCAGCAGCTTGCGAGGGCGTTGGCGGGTGTTGCCGATGGTTGGAGAGGAAAAAAACTGGCGGCCGAGCCTGGTCCACAGGACACTTGATTCGAGCAACCATGCTGAGGTATGCAGGCCGGGTCCGAAACCTTTAAGTTGAAACTTCCAACCCTAATCTAAACCCTGAACCGAATCTAAGCCAGCCAGGTGTGCGGGGTTCATTGGAGGACATGGGCTTCGCTTTCTGTGCTCTCAACCTGCATCGGCAACTGCGGCCGTCCTTGACCTCGTTCTTCTTGTCCTCGCGAGCTCGTAAACGACGACAAGACTTTTGTTTGCACAGACTAGGGTTGCACTCTGACCTTAAGTCAAAACTATGTGTCGGGCGGTGTAGGAACCAAAGAAACAAGTCCAAAAGCAGTTCAAAACATGTAACGTATGCGTGGAATGCTGCAGGCCAAGCATGAAGAGATGCTTGGACCGAGTTTGACTCTTCAACGTCGCAGAAGCCAGCTTCAAAAGCAGTCGATCTGGGCAGCAGGCAGGCGGCCGTGGCTAACAACTGCTTCATCTAGGGCAACGTCAACGCTGGCCGTGAAGCCACGAAAGGCCGATGCTTCCTGGCTGCCACAGTAGCTGCAGAAAGCCATGTATTAATGTTAATGTAGTCTGTCGGACTGCAATGTCGGGTACATGTGATGTCTCGAGTTTAGGAATAGTCGGACCTGCCATTCTTGGAGCGAGGTGCTATCGAGCGCAGGGCACGACTTTGCTTTTTATTCCCCCGCGTCATAGACAGGCTTTGCGATCTGTCGGCTTGAACTCAGATGGGGACTTGCCCGTGTGAAGAGGGTTCCCATCGGCGGCAGTGTCAGTGGACGGCGAGGCTGATTGCGGATCCCAGTGTCGTCGTCGTCAGATACATGGCATGGCGGTCTCCCGCCATGCTCGCAAGTCAGACTTCAGTGCGACTCGGTGCGTCGCTCCCGTCATTCTCACAGAAGAGTGTCAGTGTACAGAGTCAGAGTTGCTTTGACACTGCCGTGCACATCACGGAGAAGACACGTGAGATTTGGTGGTTTTCCTGTACTTTGATCATCATCAATATAGACAAGAGCTTCAGAAGCCCTTCAGGTCCTGGGTGGTGGCTTTGTTTTAGATTGAAGATGGAGATAGTGTTTGGGAAATTGGAAGAGCGATAGCGAACATGTCTGGACGGAACAGGTACTTGGATCTCATAAGTCCAATTAGAGACAAAACCTCCTGACCCGGACCCGACCCAAGATGAAGGTGACAACAACTGCTGCTCCATTAGTGCTGCACTTACTATGTATCCTGAACAAACGGTAAGTACAATGCCAGAGAAGTCAGACAAGCTAGGCTTAGGTAAGTTAACTTATCAGACTTGTTATGTTCATATACTTGATATTCTAACAAGTCCCGTGGTCCTCACAATAAGTCCCCAAGTCCTGAAATAATCTTATAACCGACAGCGACGATCCGAGTAGATGTCCATTGGCATGATGAGCATGGGTCGTTTCCGAGTGCTTGCAGGCGCCGGCCCACCATGCAAAAGCCAGAGCCGTGCCCTTGGTGCCGTTGCGCATGAATCAAACCACTTCTCACTTGTGCGGAGTGTTACAATAACATGTTGCAGATTGCAGGGCAGATCCGGCAGTCGGTCAGTAAGTACGGTATGGCTGAGATGCATTGGAGCGGGGGGCGAATGCAAGTGCCAGGTGATTGCGGCGGCGGCGGCAGGGCTAGGCGGAGCAAAGTTGGTAGGATTGGTGCTCCTGGCTTGCTTGTGTGGCAGAGCTGATGCGTCGCTGAGACACTTTCCACATGCCTAGGGCCTACGGTGCTGAGAGATATGAACAACAAGTTGGGAACTGCATGTTATTTGCATTGAGTCAGTGTCAGCATCTGTGTGACAATCTGGTTCAAGTACGGATCGGATATGGCAGCGGCCGTTGCACTGGCAATGTCGCAGGCTGCCGAGGAGCCGTACAGAGTCATTTCCGTCATGACGATACCATTGCCATGCCATGTCTTAACAGTCGTAACACCACGGTACTTCTAGGGTTCCGGGCAGGATGCCATTGACGATGAGTCCACAAGCTTGTTTGAAGCCTTCGTGGAGCAGACGAGTCTTGGGCAGCAGTGAACATGCATGGAAGTGCTCAGTCCGTGCTTGATCTCATGAACAGATAGATTCCTGTTACAAGATGCCGATGCGAGAGTCACTGCTTCCTGCTGCTTCATAGGCCCAAGTGATGGTGATTTCTGTCTTGTGAAAGTCATGTGCCATGAGTTTCGTGATACAAGGTAGGTAACACCAGAACTTGAATCCTGGACAGCATTTCGATGTTACAGCTCGCTGTAGATGAAATGGATGAAAGTGACACTGGAATACCCGTTGTCCCTAGTGCCGCCTACCCTACACGCCCGACAGGCCACAGAAATGGTCGTGATTTGATTCCTGATGCGTGAACAATGCATGGAGTTTGTCAGATGCGTAGCAATTGCTTCCCGAAGTCGGAGTCAGAGTATCTGAGACTTCTTAGATCTTGCTTTGTGCAATGTCGTATACGAGACTGGATGATCTGGGGCTGCAGAAAGCTCCAAATTCTTTCGCTTTGTTCAAAGCACACCTGAAGGCCAAGGGCACGAGCCTGCGACCGGAGCGGCGATTGAGGGCGAAGACCATGACTAATACAAACCCGTCAGCTCAGTGGGCGCGTTTGCCCGAGGAGACAAAGCAGAGCTTCAGGGACGATGCTCGGTGCCGGGCAAATGATGTCCAGCAGGAGAAAGAGAGATTGCTGGCAATCTCCTGCGGGTCCGATGCCGAGGAGTGCAATGTCAGAGATGAGCGTCCTTCGCATGCCTCTGAAGGGCTCGTGTTCAGGCAAGCCACTGGCGAGACATGGCGTCGAGTGTCACGTTTGGGGAGCGGGACATACGGCACTGTGTGGGCCTTTGAGAGCATGCTCTCTGCAGCTGTCGTGGCCGGCAAGGTTTGCAAGTGCCTTGCCGAGTTGGAGAAAGAGCTAAAAATCATTAGCCGCTTCCAGTGCCCTTACATCGTAACTGTTTATGGTTTTGCCCTTGGCCCGGAGAACACCGTGGCGCTGCTGATGGAGAAGGCCGATAGCACCCTCCTCCAAGTGCTTCAAGGCTGCAAGCAGACTGGATTCCAGGGGTCGGAGAATGAGAGTGGTCAGATTGCGCAGCTGCTGCAGCGTTGGCAGTGGCTGCATCAGTTGTGCTTGGGTTTGCAGCACATCCACTCGCATGATATGCTGCACCTGGACCTCAAGCCGAACAACGTGTTGGCGTTTCCGGCTAGCCGGTGCATCAAGATCACTGACTTCGGCATGGCGGGGAAGGTCGTCAGGGGCGTGGTCGCCACCGTCGGCGCGGAGGCCTTTTGTACGAGCTACCGTGCTCCAGAGCTGTTGGAGGCTGGTCAGGATCTTTGCCATACGGGGCCCGAGGCTGACATCTTCGCCCTTGGTTGTGACTTGGCTGAGCTCTGTCAGACTTTCTCAAAAGACCCTTAGTGTTTAGAGATAGTCATAGTTCTGTTGTTTGTGATTAGAATATAAGACATGGTCATTCAGATGTCCCGCCAAGGCGTCATGTTCGATCTCCTGTCTACGAACGTGGTGAACCTTTTTCCGCCCGCTGCCGTCGACGACCTGCTGAAGAAGCGTGCTGCGAACACATCTGGACCGTGGGGAACCATGTGGCAGCGAACAGTGGATGCTCTGCTGGCTTCGCCCTCTCATCGAATGGCACAGAAGAGCGCCAGAGAGCTCCTGACGCGTGTGGTGGCTCTCAAAAGGAAGCGAATGAAGCTCGATGCTTTCACCGAGGCCGTTGTATGTCACATACAGAAGCTGAAATGCTGAGTCCGCTCGGGGTGCGTGGGTAAAAAAAGGCGGGCCCGATCGACGGTTGCACGCCTCTTTGGGTAAAAGGCTGTCTGTTAGAGATTTCGGGTTTTTGAGCAAGTCGGTTTTTTGGGGGCTTCGGGTTGAGGCGGTTCAGGGGGAGGGCCGCAGCCTCAAAGACGAAGCGACGGGGCTCACAGGGCTAAGTGTGTTTTGGGGCTTACGGGTTTTGCGGTTCCGCTGAGGGTTTTAGGGTTCAGTGTTTGCCACATGGTTAAACGTGTAGTTTTGCAAACATAAACAATAGCAACCCGTGCCCCGCGTTCTCCGTGCTTCACAACTACTTGTGAAAGACCTCTATCAGCGTCCAGTGTGGGTTTACAGGATTCCAAGGACACTCGAGGGCTCATAGCGACGTTGCTTATTCAAGCTTTTTGCTCTTTCTCTGCAAGCTCTTCCAATCATTGAGACCAGAATTCCCAAAGCATCGGGTTGTTCACCCGCCAATAGAGAACCTGAGCTGGCCCCTTTCATGTCAACCTAAACCCTAAACCCCAGCATCAATCAGACGATATACATACATCTATATATATATATATACATACATATATATATATATATATGTATATTTTGCTGTGCATCTCCAATCTGCTTCCTTTCTACTGCCTCTAAACTTCTGGTTTCAGGGATTTCCCCTCCTGTACATTGTCCGATTGTCCAACACTGTCCTCCTTGGCCAGCCAAGGGTGAGCAGCTGGAAGGAGACGGAATCCGTCTGGACAGTGCTCGCCGAGAAATGCCCGGACAAGAGCGACATTTACGAGAAGATGAAAGCAGTGTTTCCCTTCGAAAAGGGCGAAGGCCGGCAATCGTAATCTCCGGTGGAAGCATTTGCAGTGCCAAAACCCCTTAAGCCATCATTTTCCTGACTATTGTTGTTGCTTATATATATGCGTGTTTGCCCCTGCTGTCTGCTCCTGCTAGCTCTCGCCTGTCGTGCTTCTTGATGTCTTGCTCGATGTTTTCCTGCTCTTTGGCTGCAGCTCATCGGTAGTTCCATTCCACATCGTTCTATTCTTCGTAGCTCGCCTTTCTTCACCTCTTACATGTGTATTTAGTCTCCTCTTTCCTCTCTCGTCCTTTCTTCTGTTTGCTTTCGCATATCCTGTGGCATCTGCTCCTCTGCTACACCCGCTCCTCTCAACAATCCGCCCAGTAGACAGGCCAGCCAGATTGCAAGGTAGTTAGCAGCAGTG